GTAAAAATACGCGGGATAATAATAGTTCCAAGTTGATCTGGCATCCCATGAATCACTTGTTTCATGGACAGATCATATTCAATTGAGGAACTACTAATGGTGAAGTAAGCACGGTCTGGAGCAGTGCTGCAAAATCTCGACAGTACACGGTGATATTGACAATTCTGCTTTGGTCACTCATTTTAGCTAACAGTCATAGTCAAGGCAAACCATGTCAATTGTCAATGACAATGGTGTCAGTGACGAACATTTGCAGATTTGTTTATTAGCTAAATTTGTAACAAAATTAAATGACTTGAGTAAAACAATTACATGGATCCATTTTAGTGAACAAGTATCTACGTCCTGAGCTACTTGGATAACAATAATGTGACACAGAATGTACTAAATTACACTTTTTGTTACCAGGTGAATCTTTGTCATTGACGAAAAAATGAATGAGATTTTGACAAAGGTTTTTTTGAGGATCAAGTCTGTCAGTGACTATGTGACGAACAATTTTGTCAATATCGCGCGAAAGTCTGTCAATGACAATGACAAATCTCAGCACTGGTCTGGAGTATACTAAGGAAGATACATATCCGAAGATATGTAGTGGAGATAGATTCTCATAAATCGAGGTTTTGTGTTCAGCCCAAGAATTGCTTCAAAATTTGCGTGTTCGTCACTCCGCATTTGATTAGTATCCTGAGAGAGAGAGAGAGAGCTCCCGGAAACGGTTCTGGAGAGGTGTTATTCCTGCTAGAACCTCGAGACTCATATTATGCGTTGAATGCAGCCGAGAGCGATACGCAGACAAAGATATTGAATTCGTTCCAAAAGCAAAAAAGAGCCGTACTCTAGAATAGAAAGAATTCTCGATAACTTTTTCGAAGGGACGTATCAGCTTTTGTAAACAATGCATTTGATCGTCGATTTGGTGTAACTGGTAGCTCGCCCACGCATGCTAACACTACCATCAGATAGGGGAAATTTTACCCTACCTGCTAGTGGTGTTAGTAAGCGTGTGCGAGCTACCAGTTACGCCAAGTGGACGCACACATGCATTGTTTACAAAAGCTGAGACGTCCCTTTGAAAAAGTAATCGAGAATTATTGTTTTATAAAGCTTATGAGTATAATGAGAGAGAGAAGGATTAGTATTTTCCATTTAATTCCACTACTTTATTTGCTTATCCTTGACAGATACGCGTATTTCGTCTACAATGTGCAGACTTCTTCAGTGTCTTGTACTAATAGTCGAGTATTAGTACAAGACACTGAAGAAGTCTGCACATTGTAGACGAAATACGCGTATCTGTCAAGGATAAGCAAATAAAGTAGTGGAATTAAATGGAAAATACTAATCCTTCTCTCTCTCATTATACAGGTATTCCACTAAGACGCCCACATTCATCAGGAAGCTTATGAGGTCTTCCGGATGAGCACCCCACCATGTGCTACAAATTATACGCAATAAGTTGATCCTCTGTTGACATTTTTGCTTCAAATACGTAATATGGGTATTCCAAGTGCACTTTGAATCAAACCAGATCCCAAGGTACTTGAAAGACAATGATTGAGTAATGTTTTTGCCCAAAAGATTAAGATGCATTTGGGCTTTGTACCGCGTTCGAGTAAACACTACCAGTTCAGTTTTCTGCGGCGAGAATGCGATCCCTAGATTCCTAGCCCAGGAAGACAAGTTATCTAAGGAACTTTGCAATGGTCCTTGCAAGTCCACGGCATGTGGGCCTCTTACGGAAACCACACCGTCATCTGCAAGTTGTCTTAGCGTGCATTGTTCTGCCAAACAGTTGTCGATATCTTTGACATAAAAGTTATAAAGAAGAGGGCTGAGACATGAGCCTTGGGGCAGGCCCATGTAACTAATTCTGGAAGTTGTCAGTTGTCCAAGGGAAAAGTTCATTTGCTTTTCTGACAGCAAATTGTACAAGAAAATTATTAAAATTCCAGAAAGTCCACATCTGTGCAGATTGTCTGACAGAATTCCAATGGAAACTGAATCAAAGAATACTGAAGCCAATTGCTCCTTGTGCGCAAAGGCCAGTTGAATATCTGTGGAAAGCAGCTTGTTCCTTTGCTCTTGCGGAACCCAAACTGTGTATTTTATAGCAAGTTATTTGCTTCGACCCACTGCTCGAGTCTCCGAAGGATCATTTTCTCCAACAATTTCCTAATGCACGTAAGCATAGCAATCGGACGGTATGAGTTATGGTCAGACGCTGGTTTGCCAGGTTTTTACCCTTCTTACAAAGAAGGGTATAGATATCACTTGAAAAACCGACTATCGATCCGAGGCCCGGAGGGCCGAGTGTCATATACCATTCGACTCAGCTCGACGAGATCGGAACATGTCTGTGTGTGTGTACGTGTGTAGTGTATGTGTGAATGTGTGTGTGTATGTAACGAAATGAATGCGCTCACGTTTCTCAGCAACCGCTCAACCGATTTGGACAAACTCGGCGCCAAATGATAGGTCTTGGGGTCTATTGAACGGTTTTGGAATCGGTGAACCGGCTCCTGCGATATGGCCGGAATAAGATCCGGTGAATATGGGCCTTCACGCTGGATTTAACGGAAAACGTATCAAAACCATCATGCGACACATCAAATTACAACAGAATTCAAAAATAAGATCAATGCAAGTCGTGTTAAGTGTTCCAGACCACATTGGACACACTTGGACATGTTCCGGGTACCCCGGGGAAGTTGCTTGAATATGAATTGAATTAAAACCCATTAAATCACATTAAAATATGATGATAAGGTGATTGGTAGCCTCACCAAATAGACTACTCCCGGATATATTCCGGGTACCCCCAGGCAGTGGCGTAGCGTCACTGGATGACACGGGGGTGGGGGGCTTGGTCACTGATAATGACAATAAAATAAATAAACTTGAATAAGTAAGAAGGGTCTGATCACACCATAGGTGGATAAATTCGGGTTTTTTTAATGGCTATTACTTTGACCTGTAAAGAATTAAATAAGTCTAGCAAGCGTCTTTTAGCGATATCTGGGAGATTTTTCAATAGATTGAATTTAATCATATCGCTTCCCTGTGAGGAGTTGTTCGATGAAAGAAGCGCCATAAAGAATTCCAGCATTGTGAATGGCCTATCCAGAGAGCCGCCGCTCGGAGACGCTTCTCGGAGAATGTGTTATGCTGGAACTGAGTCCGGACAGACCTTTTTAGTGAAATCGAATATCCATCGGTTGGAGTATTCTTCACTCTCATTAGAAGATGAGCGGTTACGCATGTTGCGAGCCCACAAGGTCTTCATTGAGGTTGAGTTTCCCAATTCTAGGAAGATTCTCAGAATTTGTCCGAAGCTTTCCTAATTTATATTAAATTCCCTTCTAAGGTTTTCCTTGAACATCTCCAAAGTTGCTGAAGTTTGAAGAAACCCAAATTTCCCCAAATTTCTACAAATTTAGGTAAATTGCCCTTAATTATCTGCATTTTTACGAAGTTCACCTTAACTTTTACATAATTTAATTTTGTTGCGCTTATTTTTTTAGAATCATAAATATTTTATTTCGGAATTAAATTTGGCAGTCGACCCTATAGAATATTTGTGAGTGGACAGTGTGAGAACACAATTTGAGTGAACACAATTTTAGAAAACAGGGATGTCTTATTTAACATTAAGCTTCATTTGAATTTTCCAATAAACTTAAACATCCCATATTTTGTAAATTCATTACTCATAAACGAGTAAGCGTAGAATATATTTCTTTGCGATAATTACATTTCCTCTCAGATTTCCGTTCAAAGATACATATAGAAATGTTTCCCATGAAAATTTTATAGTTGGTGAATTTTTTACCAGTAAAGTACTAGGATAAAGTAAACCCTCTTCCCATTCTACCGATGCCTTATGTCTTGTCAGCGAGGTCCATGGCCCTACCAGCTCAACATCCTAGTTACACATAGGGCCTTGTCCTTTGTCCGATTTCTTCAGCTCCGCCTGAATCTTTAATCAGGTTTACCCATATAGTTAAAGCTGGTTTAAGCGCAGATGAACAAATCGGCCCTTAACAACGAATACAATTCAACTACAAATTGAAACGGAATTAGAACGGAAGGCTGCTATTCTTACATGGGCTACAATCTCGAATGTCTGTTGTAACTGTTGTTATCGATTTATAATGCCATCAACGATAGTAGAGCTCAGTATTCGAGATTAAGTTTAGTAAACAAAATGCCACGTTGGGGTTTGAGTGATCTTACCCCCCCCTACTCGACGCCACTGACGAGCAATGCTATAAATGCAAGCATCGTATTTGTATTTCCAACCATCCAGCCATTCAGTGACCAGATCGCAATAAAACATCTAATGTTGATGTGCATGGTTGGCGCTAAACCTTTTTAATCCCAGCTTGAGCTTCCGGAGAGTTTGGGAGGGGGCTTCTATTCATTTGTCCAGCTCTAATTTATTTTTCTGCAAAAACTAAAAACGATTCCATTCCAAAAATGCATCCAGACAACCTGTACCAACCAACCAGTTGGAGAAAAACACCAGAAAACGGAAAACACCTTAATCGTTCTCTTTCTCTCTGTGTCACCGTCCTTTGCATGTATGCATGTGCTGTCATTCTTTTGTAAGCAAGGATTATCCCAAACATTTCCACGCACCCACACCGACGGAGCGATCGACTCCCACAAAGTGTGACCGTGATCCTACAAAAAACCGCGTGCCAAATCCTTCCAATCTCTGAGCGAAAAGCATAACATACACATGTAGGTATCCTTGAGACATGGCGGTTGTGGGAGCGCAGAGAGAAAGAGAAAAACCGACCCAAGCGAATGATGAATTTCACGTCCAATTTATGTAATTGATTGAAACGCATCTCTTTGTGTCTCTGCTTTAGGTTAGTGAGCGAAAGCTTTCTCCCTGTGCCCGCTGACTGTGTTGGTGTCCGAAGACATCAACGATTGCCTCAAAGAGAGCGGGAGCGAAAGAGAGAAAGCTAGACAGCAAGAGCATCAAAGTGGGTGGTAGATTCCGCCCGACTGACAACAATCCATCGGTGGGGTCCTTTCATTGTGCCGTGTGCTGCTGTGTGCGTGCGTGTGGAGAGGATTTGGAATTTGGCGGTGAAGAAGAGCTGACGAAGATAAGAAGATAACGGTGAAAGTGTGGGGGATAAAGAGAACATAACATACAGCGTTCGTTTTGACATAAATACTTACCGAGAAGGGGCACAACAGGCGAAATATAAAGAAAAGGGTGTCCCCTAGTACGAGTTTTCGTCTGCCAAGTGCCACGTAAATATTTTAGAGTACGATTGCTTCGTAGTGGGTGCTGTTCTTTTATTTTCGGCTATTGTGGAAACGGAAAATAAAATAAAGAAGATAGAAGCCGTTTCTGCATAACAGAGAAGGGTTAAAAGTTTTAGATTTTTCCAATAGCGAGTCAAAAGTGAACGCGACGAATCGAATCGGAGTGTGTGAGTGTGAGAAGAGGAGAAGTAGGAAGTGAAGAGAAGAAGACGAAGGATACGGAAAGTTGGATGGGGATGTGGTGGTCCACCGTCCTAGCCGTTGTCGTCGTTGTCGTTGTCTCCAAGTCGTACCCAGACAGCGCCAGCAAAGTGGAAGAAACCAGGTGCAATCTGCTGAGTGGCCGCTGTACCAACAATGAGGAGTGGTAGCTCAGAACTTCTGCTCGAGCAACAAGCAGAAGAGCTACGGAAGAAAAAGCTGCTAGAACTAGCGGCTGCCAAGAAGGCGAAGAATGGTCCCGCTCCAAAGCGAACGCTGCGCGAAAATGCCAGCTTCTACACGACTTCCAGTTTGGCGTTCCTCTCGGTGACAGCCGGGGCGTCGCTGCTATTTCTGGTTCCTCTCTATGTCGATCCGGCGATCTCGACGCTGGTTGGCGACTTTGTCGAACGGCCCACAATGTGCGTTACGACGCGGCGCGAAGATATGACCGGGTTGTTCAACTGTTCGTGGAGTTCGTGTCGCGAAGGTTGCACCTCGGATGTGTTCAAGTGCACTCATATTTATGTGACGTTCATCGACGATCTGAACTTTACGTTCCCTTTCAATGCGACGCCCTCGGAGCTGTTCAATCTGACCGATATCGAGCGGTCGGAGGAAGCGATCCTGCTGGTGAACATCAAAGGCTGCGGCTACCCGCCGACGGTCAAGTGCAAAAACTTCACCGATCTCTACGGTTTCGAGGGCGCAGTGTTTCCATGTTTCTACTCGAAGCAAAACAAAACGGTCGTGATGACCTCCTACAACCGGGAGGAACAGGTGCAGACGATCATACACTTTTTCGTGATTCCATTCATCATTACGGTCGTCTCGTCGGTGTTTCTCTGCGTAATGCACTGTGATTGTAGATGTAAGAAGGAGCGACGACGACGGCATCGACACCGGCGGCCTAGGATAGAGAATCTCAGGTGAGTGGTTTGGGTGTAGATTTCAGTATCACTTAAATTAATGGGGGAAATTCGAAAGGGTGGGTGGGTTCACAATATGAGTGAGAATTGAGCTTTTCCAACTTATAAAATTGCTTCTGATTCATATTTAGCATTGAAAACTCATGTCTCACAGACTTTTTAAATATCACACAAATTCACAGTTGTAAACCAAGCTTAAGTTTTCGAAAATTACGAATTGCCAGAGACAAAGACAGGCTAAATGCCCGCACCTTGGACTTAACGCTACCCATCAAATCCTGTGCAACACTTGCTCCATCTTTCTTACACACTTTCATCCACTCTTTCTTCAAATCCTTGTCATTTTTGAAGACCTTCCCTGTTTTCTGGAGCTTGCCGTTCATAATCGACCAAAATGTTTCTATTGGGCGAAGTTCTGGCGAGTTTGGCGGATTTGCCTCCTTCGGCACAAAAACAACATCGTTGACTATCACTGGTTTCGCGTAATGGCACGATGCCAGATCCGGCCAAACAGAGTTTCACCTTTGTGAGACCACAGGAAGGACAGCAGGCGCTTCTGAGAGCATTCTTCTTTATATATTTGGCCGTTGATGGTGCCGGTCGTCATGTACGGCTTGCTGAATTTGCCGCACCCACAGATCGCCAGCCACACTAAGTACTTCTTGGCAAATTTGTCGAACTTCTTCTTCCGGAACTTCTCCTGAACATCCAGGCGGGACTTGCCGACGAATAACTCCAAGCCGGGGATCTGCTTGGCGTCCGCTTTAATGTACGTCTCGTCGTCCATTACGATGCATTTCGACTGCACCAACCACTCGCGGTACAGCTTCCTGGCCGTGGATTTGGCCATCGTATTCTGTTCATCGGTTCGGTTAGGCGCCTTTCTTACCTTAAAGACATGAAGTCCGGCCCGGTTCATTGTCTGCTGGACGAACCAGACGGAAGAATTGACCTTCTTGGCCACGTCTCGAATCGAAGAGTTCGGATTGCGCTTGAATTAATCCCTCGCCTTCCTTGTGTTTACGGGGTCGACCGTCTTCGCTTTTCTTCCGCTGCCAGCTCACCGCTGGATCGTCTGGGTCTCCTTGAAAGATTTTACTACACAGAACACGGTCGAATTATCGATTCCAAACTGTTTCACGATCCACCTGTGGGACTGGCCTGAATCGTCCACGATCATACCCATATTTTTTGACGTAGGACTACGTTTTTGATTTCTATATGGAGGTACACTTTGTGAAAACCAAAAATGGAGTATGTAACAAATTAAGAAAGATTTTGAACGTTAATAACTCAGCTGCCCCTGGTTCAATTTCAATAATTTTATTACCAATCGATCAGAAATATGGCTTCGCATCGATAACAATGCTTCCGAATGTTAATTTTTTAACAAGAAACTATTGAAAAACTGGTAAATGTCCAGCATTGTCCAAAAGCGTCGAATTAACTAACAAATCCACCAATTACTTACATGCATATGCTGCTTCCCCAGCACAGTCGTCATAGAGTAGTAAGTAGACGAAACAAGTCGAAGTGGCATTCGCCTCCGATCCCCGGGCACGTGCAAATAGGGAGGATGGAATTGCGTAATATTTTGCACACTCATCGCCATACTCAGAACCTCAAGCTCCAAACGACCACACCACTGTGTGGTGGTGTTCGGTCGTCGAAATTAGTAGCAGCAGTAGCAGTGCTTACGGCGTGTGGCGTTGAAAATTGTTCTCCAGTGACAACGAAAGGCTGCCTGCAAGCAGCGAGCTGCAGAGCCGTCATAAGTAACCATTAAAGGAGGAAGAAGCTGCACCGCTATGCTATGGATCGGAATCAGTAGCTCTTCGTGAGTCGCTGCGGGTCGGTCATCTATGCCAAGCGTGCCACCCTCGCTCCAAACGACATACAGCTCGACAGCCTCATCCGTGTTGAACACCCAGCTCAGAATTACTCAACTATCACTACAAAACGGTCCTTTTCAGGGCCACCAAAAATTTGTTAAAGAGTGTTATTTGGACATTGGTCAAGGTCAACAGTTCCCGCAAGCAGCTAGCTATCAAGGCTCAACCTGTCTATAGAAGGTGTGGAATTGTAGGCCTGAATATATTGGTGGTGTTTTTCCTCGGCTTTCATTCCGCACGATTCGTTTCTTTCGTTTAATCAATCACCCTTAAAGCGACGTCGAAAAGATTGTTTCAATCGGCGCTTACATATGAAATTTAATGTGGATTATAGAATTTTTCGTATGTTACCCAAATTTATGAATGGCTTGCAACTAAATGTTGAGATAATTTATTGATTATCGAATTATCACACTGTATACCATGAAACAGCACCCCGTTTGTGAGTTTTTGCCTGGTTTCAAGTAAGGAGTTATCATAAAAAACAAATCGCCAGCTGGTATTTCCCGGCGACTTTACAAATAAATAAAATCAAACAAAATCAACATGCAGAACTAGGATTTGTTTTACTTCATATTTCACAAAATTGCTTTCGAGTGTTAAGACATCGTCTCCCGCAAAGTTTACATTTTTCCCTCTACCAACACATACATCAGGGCTAGATAGATCTCCACAGGATTTATAGAATCCACGCAATTTCAAAAAACCAAAATGCACAGGATTACGAAAAGAGGTCAGGTTTCGACCAATAGCAGATAGATTTTAATTCTAAACAAGCAAAACGATTGGAAATTTATCTACCAATCTGCTAAAATGGACAGTTAGTTAATTTTCAATAGGTCACTATTGAAAAATACCAAATGTCCAACTGTTGCAATGGTGATCAAAATTATCACCGAATGTCTGAAAACAGCGCATTCCCTAACACAGACTTAAAATCGAATTCAATGCGGTCCCACTGAACGGTGCTCATTCAATCACCGTAAGTGGTGGTGTCCAGTCCAGCAGCAGTAGAAGCAGCAGCAGCAGCAGGAGTGCTTTCAACAACAACGAAAGGCTGCCTACAAGCAGCGAGCTGCAGAGCTCATATGAGCAACCATAGAGAAGGAGAAAGAAGTACCACCGCTAGGCTAGGATCGGAATCAGCTCGTCGTGCTCAGCTCAGTATTACTCAACCATCACTACAAAACGGTTCTTTTCAGGACCACCATAAATTTTTTAAGAGTATTATTTGTACATTTGTCAAGGTCATCAGTTCCCGCAAGCAGCTAGCTATCAAGGCTCAACCTGGTCTCTATAGAAGGTGTGGAATTGTAGGCCCGAATGTATTGGTGAGATTAATCATCGTCCGACCATTTTCCAGAACACGCTGGTAGGAAGTGTTAAAAATCCATATATAATTTGAGAGAAGTGGGAATAATTCGCTTTAGGTGTATATTCCGTCTCCAGAAAGCCAATAAAATCAAATTTGTGAGAAAATTAGCTCACACGAGTTCAATCTCTCGAAGTCCCTCCTTTTTTACAAATTCTGCACAATAGATAAAGGGTGTCCACGATGAAATTGCCACACACAAAATTGATTCGCAAAATTCGAGTTTTCATCCGATTGCCATCAAATTTTCAGGGATTGAGAAATAACTATTAAACTTAATTTTACCATTTTACTCGTATTTTATTTACAGTCCATACGTAAATGCCCGCACCTTGGCCTTAACCCCGGCCATAAGATTCTGCACAACCTGTGAATCAACCGTTTTTTGCATGTAAACCCATACTTTCTTCAGTTCCTCGACTGTCTTCACTACCTTAGGTCGTTTAAGAAGGTGCTGCTTCATAATCGCCCAGTACTTCTCGATGGGGTGGAGCTCCGGAGTGTTGGGAGGGTTGAACATTTTCGGCACGAAATTGACCTTATTGTCCGCATACCACTTCAGCACGTCCTTGGAGTAGTGGCATGAGGCCAAATCCGGCCAGAAGATTGTTGGGACGTTGTGGGCCTTCAGGAGAGGAAGCAGCCGCTTCTGGAGGCACTCTTTTATGTACACCTGTCCGTTCATCGTGTCCTGGGTCACGAAAGGTGCACTCCGCTTCCCGCACGTGCAGATGGCTTGCCAAACCAGGAATTTCTTCGCAAATTTGGACATCTTCTGAGTGCGGACATGCTCCGGAACGCTGAACTTATCCTTGGCCGTGAAAAACAGGTTGCCGGGGATCTGTTTGAAGTCGGCCTTCACATATGTTTCGTCGTCCATGATGCAGCATTCAACTTTCGTCAGCATGTTGAGGTACAACTTCCTGGCACGGGTTTTGGCGGACTTGTTCTGCTTCTCGTCGCGATTAGGAGCCTTTTGTACCTTGAACGTTCGAAGCCCAGCCTTAGTTTTGGCCTTCTGGACAAAACTTCGGCTTAGGTGCAGCTTCTTAGCCACATCCCTAACGGAGGCGTTCGGATTTCGGTTGAAGGCCCCAACTACGCGGTTGTGATTTTTGGTGTTGTACGGAATACTTTTTCCTTCACTTCTGGGCTTCCGATCGGTGGTCAACCGTTCCTCGAACCGCTTAATCACTCGCGACACCGTGGAATTCGCGATTCCCAACGTTTTAGCGATGGAACGATGCGAGAGATCCTTGTTCTCGTGATGAATGCGCAAGATTTTATCACGCACGAGCTGTTCTTTCGACTCCATTTCTGCGAGTTTTGATCACAGGACTTTAAAACTTGCAGGATGTAAATAATGCACTATGAACTAAATCCACCCAAATTTTCATTAAATTCTACCCAACGGTTAAAAAGTTAGAGCAATTTCATAGTGTGGCAATTTCATCGTGGACACCCTTTACTTTCCGCCTCGCCCCATTCATATAATTCGGAAGGAAATCCTGTGAGGGGTGAATTGAATACACTTTAATACCAAAATGCACAAAACTTAAAAATTCATAAATAACAAAAAATTCAACTGCGCCGGTGGTGTAGTGGTAAGCGTGACCCCAGTAGGCCTGGGTTCAATCCCAGTCGGCGCCGCCGGGATGTTCTGAGGCATAACATCTCTGATCACGCCTTCCTTCGGATGGGAAGTAAAGCCGTTGGTCCCAGGTTCATGAGTTGAT